AGAGAAAGAAAGAAAAAAGAAAAAAAAGAGAAAAAGAGACAAAGAGAAAACTGAAAGAAAACGGTAGAATGATACGAGAAAAGACGCAGTTTTCAAGATGAGAAAAGATCTTCGTTTCCCGCGGGACCTCGTTACTCTTGTCCCGGAGGCTCTTCAGGAGATTACCCGGCTAATCCTGCATGGACTACTGAGAGCGACTAGCGTGAAAGGGGTGGAGGGTAGAGAGTTGCAGTAACGGGGTGGTTGGTCGGTTGAAACGGTGAGAGGGTTTGGTAAGGGGGTGGGAGTGGGATAGTAGGATGATGGAGACGGTTAGGTGAAGAGGGGTTAGTTGAGGGGATAGTTGTGGGGATAGTTGAGGGGGGTTAGGTGAGGTGGTGGATGGTTGAGTGTTCAGAAGGATAGGATAGTAGAGACGAGATCGAACGACAGCGTTAATGCCGCTTTTATCGTCCCGTTGAGCCGATGGAATTTATTAAAAAGATTCTCTCCGTGACACTGATACTCTTTCTCTCTTTCTCTAGTTCATTCACAGTCGATATATTGACGATGACCTCGTTATTTTCGCCTTAATAAAAAAGAGAATCCTGGGAATTGTCAAAAAATAAAAGATAGAAAAAAGAATGTCTCAGTTGGTAATCGATATTTTCAATATGGTTCAATGTTGTTTAATTAAATCGAACCTGACATGACTCGATCGCTTTTAGAGCACTTGCGAACGTTGTTGTTTAGAATTTTAATAAAATAGAAAACCTTGCATACGTGCACAAAATTGTATAGTTATATAGATAGATAGATACATGAATAGGTAGATAGATATTGTGTTCGATAAACTTTGTTACATTGATAGACGAATTCTGTGTACATAAAGTAAATATATTATATATAATATAGTACGTGGAAAATGAGTATATATATATATATATATTTAAAAAAAAAAAAGGTAAAAATGAAAGAAAAGAGAGGAAGATAAGGATGAATTAAAAACGTCATTATTTATCAAGTCATTGTTTACTATTAAAATGTCTATAAATAAACAGAAAAATAGGAAAAACTTAGTACGTGTAAAAAGTATATGTACCTATATATATATATATGTAAAGATATATAAAAATATAAGAGTAAAGCGAAGAGATTTACGATAAAACGTAATGTGTGTGTGTGTGTATGTGTGTTAGAGCGCGGGTGTGCAGGTGCGATTGATCGTGAGAAAACGTCAGCTGGGATACTACGCGGGCTTCCAGAGTCCTTTGGAAGATTTTTTCTTTTCAACAAGAGGAATAAGAATAGGTAACATCACTGACAATGTAATAACAAGTGTAAAAAACAATTAATGAATATTATTATTTATTATAAATCGTTAACTTTCTCCAATCATTACTATTTATTTTCAACTAATGTAGAACAATTCACTTTAATTTCTTCCTCGTTATTATCTTTGTTTTGATTTATGTTATAATTACAATTTACATGTTTTATTAACAAAATGATCGTTCATTAGGATTAGAAATGACCTTTTGAAACAAATAGAGAACGATGTGATTATTTTAATACGTTGTGTAATTATCGTCAGTTTCAAAAATTGATGATAATTACTGATTCATCATCATTCTAGAAAATCGTTATAGGTGAATGTATTACAACATTTATACTACGACGTCATTTTCAACGTTATATTTTAAAACAGAAATCTAAAAGAAGGACAGAGAGAAAAAGACAGAAAGACAGAAAGAGAGTGGGAGAGAGAGAGAAACGTTTACTAAGAATCTCACAAAATATATGATATATTTCAGAATTCATTTTATTCAAATAAAAAGTAAGAAAAAAAAAATAAAGAGAGGGAGAGAGAGAGGGAGTGAGAAAGAAAGAAAAAAAATAAAAGGGGTTAAAAAGGTCGTACATCGACATACCCTCTTTCTCCTTCTTTTTTTCTTTCCCTCTCTCTCTCTCTCTCTTTCTTTTTCTTCCTCACATTCTCTTTTAGAAAAAAAGAGAAGCTTGGGAGCTCTCTCGCGGAACGATGCTCCCAAGTTTTTTCATAATTCAGAGCGTCGCGTCGGTGGAACTATAGTAGCGTGGCTCACAATTAGTCGTCGGCAGGCGGGCATTAACATCGTTTTATCCTCCTCCTTTTCCTCCTAGCCCTTCTCTCTCTCTCTCTCTCTCTCTCTGTCTCTTACTTTCTGTCTCTCACTTTTTTCTTTCTCTCTTTCACTGTAGATCTTCGCCCTACTTACCAGTCTTTCCTCAATTTCTATCCTTCTCTTCCTCTTTTCGCTTCCTCTATCCCTCTCTTCCTTTCCTACTCACTCCCACTTCATTCCTTGTACCAAGTCGAATATCGTAGTGGTGCAATGTGAAAAGCTTTAGCAGCTATCCTCCGGACGTACCTCTCGTATTGCGGTGCCATGACTGGAGAATAGTGTTAACGCAAACTACGCTAACGTAACGTGGTCTACGTCGTTACTCGAATTTTGACGAAAGCTTCTTCAACACTACCCTTTCCTCTCTCATCCCTCATCATTCCTTTCGTTTCACCCTCTTCCTTCCTTTCCTCTCTCTCACTCTCTCTCTCTCTCTCTCTCTCTCTCTTTCAATTCCGTTTCTACGTTAGGCAAACTTTCTTTCATCCACAACTCGAAATTCGTGGCTCTGCGGGTGGTTGCCTTTTCGCTGACTCTCCAAATAATTTTTTTTTTCCTTATTTTTTCTCGACCACAACTCGATTTCAACGAGAGAGAAATAGAGAGAGAAAGAGAGAGAGAGAGAAAGAAATCTTTTACTATTATAATATAATTAATCCTAAAGCGAAGAGAAAAAGAGAGACGTACGTGCGTCAAAAGTAAAAAAAAAAAAAAGAAAAAAAAAAAGAAAAAAATTATGAAAAGTGAAGATAAAGGATCATAGGCACTTTAATTTTCCGAATGTTTAATGACGAATACATACAATGTGCTATTTGAAGATAGGAAAGCTTGTACGCGTGGCTGCGCATGCAATTACCGTATAACAGTCAAAAGGGAAGAAACGCTGTTTAGTTGAAAGCTTTTGCATCATCTGTGAAAATACCTCTCTCTTTCTCTTTTTCTTGTTTTTTTTCTTTCTTTTCAACATACTACGATTGCCTATTGTAGTCTTTCTCTTTATTCTCAACACATTTATTTCTATTTTCTTAAAAAACGCAAATAAAAATCTGTTGACAAAAAAAAACAAAAAACAAAAACATAAATATTCTATTTGTTCTTTTGATTTTTATTAATTTCATCACAATTGATGTCAATCGAAACTTTTTAAATTTATTTTCATTAAAATAGAATCACACACACAAACTCTTATTCCGTTTGATATATTATACTTAATCAAATCCTTTGACAAAAATAAATTTTTATACATAAAATTGTAATTTATTTTTTAACCGAAATATAAATCTAGATTTTTTCGTAAGCAAATAATAAATATATTATTTTATCTTCTTAATTTAAAAAATAAAACAACAAAATAAGCATTATCTTTTAATAACGAAAACTAAGAAAAGAAAAACCATAATTTCGTTCTAAACTAGATAATAATTTTAATTACAATATTTATCGTAAAATAAAATCCATTTCCTCGTGGAAAATTCTAATTGAAAATTCGTTCATTGAAAGAAGTTTTAAAGAAAAAGAATATCGGACAATATGAAAGGCATACAAAATAAAGATAATAAATAGTACATAAATGTCAACTAAAATAAATCTATCCATAGAGATACACACACAGATATACACAGATCCATAGAAATACTTTTTTCTTTAGCTTCTTTAGCGAATCGGTGAATGATTCGCGGTAGTAATGGACATTTCAATCGGTAAACTCGGTGCATTCAAGCTCGTGGCAACGATTTGGCTATTCGCCAAAGCCATTAAGCAACATCTTATGGCCTTTTTGCACCATCCACCAAGGTGCACTTTTGTTTGTTCTCACGCTAACAATGCCTAGGTGGAAAAATAATGAGAAGAGAGAGCTTTCCATCTCTTTCTTATTTTTTCTATCTCTTGCTAGTTCGCACAATCCATCTCTCTCTCTTTTTTTATTTTTAACCTAAGGCAAAAAAAGTTCAAGGGTCTTTCCATGAACGATGAGATCAGACGTCTCGAGACTCAATTAAAAATTACGAACGTGTATTGAGAAAGAAAAGGGATCCGTCTGAGAAAGGCTTTCTTTCAGGTCGTCGCGACGTCTCGAATCAACTTTTCACGTATGTGTTGTATAGACGTAGAGAGTGGGTGGAAAAGGGTAAAGGTGAGGGGCAAGAGGGTAAAAGCTTTTAATCGATCGATAGAAAGCTTCTATTCCAACCTAGGTTAAATACGATCAAAGATTTATTAGCGTTCAAAGTTTATACTTACATACGTGTTGTCGAAAAGACTTCCGTCGGCATACTACGATATTGTCGGTAAAATATGGAAATAAATGTATATCGGAGATGTTATAGTGCGGAGAGGTGACCGCTGTGTTTACGTTCTTACGTTCTTAGTATATAGTAACATATTGGTCTTTTCGGACTGTTCTTTATAATTTGACGACTAGTCGTAGTCAGAATGGAAAAGAGTAAACATATTGGTAATTACGATGAAATATTGTATTTAGTTTTATTTACTCGTTTCTAAATAATATCCAATAATTTACTTACTCGATTATATTATTAATTCAAATAACTGTATTAAATTATGAATAAAATCAATGTAATAATTATAGATATATATAATTCAATATACTGTGAGTATATAAAACAGCAATTAATTTAAATAAAAACTTTGAAGAACTTAACTTACAAAAAGAGTTACAAGAAAAGTTAATAAAATATTTATATTATATTTTTACACTTATATATATATATATACTGTATTTATAGTATAATAACTATAGGAAATATATATATATATATATATATTAATAAATTAATAATTATACAAAAAAATATAATATAATAAATTAATAAAATGTTACTTTTTTGGTTACAGATAAAGCACCTTCGGAGGCTTCGTTCCGTGGAACGGAATATTTAACGATAGATCTGAGCAAAGGAGACCCCATTTTCAGTACGCAGGAATTCGTTGGACTTCAATTCAAAACGAGACAACCTAATGGACTTTTATTTTATTCCGGTAATTATTTATATAAATATAAATATAAAAAGAGAATGTTCTATAACTGGTGTTAAAAATATACTCGATACATTTTCAAACTTATTTTTTTCAAAATGATGTCTTATATGGACAAATTTGATTTAACATTTGTAACTACACTACATTTTTCTTGTACAATTATCTCCTATTCATTTTTACCACCTGTTAGAGGACATTCTGTATATATTTGTTGGATTTTATTGTTATAGTTATCGTGAATTTGGTATATTTTCGTAAAAAATTACGGTAAACGTTAAAAATATTATTCATTAAATTGACCATACATATATGCGTTCACACATTTTGTTTCCTTTTTTTTCCTCTTTTTTTTAATTTTTTTTTTTTTTTTTTAAGAGCGTAGTGCGCGTTAATTAAGTTTCACTGTTTTTAAGCGTCCACCTCGTCCATATTAAACGTAATACCCCTCATTGCATATTTAAAATCTGGACCACGAAAGTAGGGAATAGTAATTCTAATTTTCTTTTTCGCATACTCACGAGAGAATTGCCCGTTCGTAAAATGTAAAATAAGAAAAAATTAAATATAAAAAAGAAAAAAGAAACAAGAGAAAGAGAAAGAGAAACATATCAAGATAAAAAAGAAAATATTGTAGAAAGTGTGTGCGCCTAAATACAACAGCTTTTATCTTTAAAATGCAATCACAATGATGGACGTCGAAGGTCTTTCGATTGAAACTAAGAAAACCTTAGAGGATCGTGGTGAGCTCATTTTGTTCTTCGATGTCGTATAAAAAGAAAAATAAATCAGGACGCATAAACGCGCTCGTTCCTTCCCGTGCATGTGCGAGAACGACAGAGTTCTTCTATCCTTATTTTATGCTCGATAAAAAAGTATACCTAGATACCTATTTCGTATAACTAGCACATCCAGAAAAAAAAACAAACAAGCGTCCCTATGCTTTCCAAAAGAGGCCGAGTCCTTTGGGATACGTCGAAAATGTGCATCTTTTTCGTCGTGTATTATCTTCGCTCTGTATTACTTTTCTTGATCGGATACTTTGAAAACGAGTCAACTTGTAACATTTCCTTGTAAGAAAAACAAAATGAAAAAGATAAAGAAAAAAAAACAAGATTAAGAATACGTGTTTTTATCGATCACGTTCAAATATCCTGACGTTGTCAAAATCGAAACTGTAAACTGTTCTTCTATAATAAATTGTGGAAAATAGAAAATATTAAATTATACATCGTTTCGTATAGAAGTTAAGAGTCAAATAAATACGTATGTGTGTATGACTGACATGAGTGTATTCTTGTTTGCATGGTAATATCGATTATAATATAAAGCTTGATTCTCTTTCTTATTTGTATAGTAAAATTGATTTTAACTCGTTAACGTTGATGCCGACTGTAATTATCTAACATACGTGAATATAGGTGCAAATGACTGCAATAACCGTCCCATATTCTTTGTATTCAAGAAGAAATGAAAAAAGAAAAACAAATTGCTTTCTTCCATCACGGTTTTTAAAGTTAACGTTAACGGATTAACGTCAAATTCATATTTAATGTATCATGAAATGATGGAGATATGAGGTATACAGAGTGCGTTTTATAATTAACCTTAAATCGTATAAATTATGTTATGTATCTATTTATTTTTTATTGAAGTTTAGAGTTGAAAAAAATAATTAAATTACGTAGGTTTTAGTAGGGAGGATGAATATGTGTGTCAGTAACTGTTTCTGTAATACATATACAATTGAATTTGTGTTTGCATATATACTAAAATTATAAAGATTAAATGAATAGTGTTTTATTATCAATCTCGAAGCAAAGAAAAAAATAGAATTCGTTGTATTAATCAGGAATTTAGTAATTAATATGATAATGTGTACGTGTATATTTCAATTATGCATAATTATATGTGTGTTCGTACGTATCCTAAAATTATTGAAATTAAAATTGTAGGATATTTTTTTCAAACCATAAAAATAAATAATACGTCAGATTATGCTAGAGTTTGAAGCTAGTATGAATAAATGTTTGTGTGAATATTGTAATTGGATACAATTCGATTTGTGTTCGTGCGCATGAATGTATATGTACGAATATCACTTTTGAAAAGTCAAAAAGCTATTTCAACGAGTTTTCTACCTCGGAGTTATTGTGTCATATGAATTATCGTTGACATGCGCGCTCTCGTCTATAAATTATAATTCTGCGAATTAAAATCTAAATTTTTTTAATTTATATTATATACAAAAAAAATGAGATACGTATTTTAAATCCGTTTACAATTTAAATAAAACAAAATTTTCAAAGTTAATATCATTATAATGCTTATACACTGGGTATATGCAATATCCAACAAAAAAATAGAGGAAATAAAATGCAAAAAAAAAAAAAGACTACGATACCACTGTTCGTTTTCGCGTATCTTTGCAAATGAAAATCGAGAATACACATATATATATAAAGTAAATAACAAATATTTGTATGTAAATATAAGAAAAGGAGAATAAACAAAAATCGATATAAATTCTCTACTACCGAATATACATAAAACACTTTATATAACAAATGCGCACACAAAAATGAATCGGTCCTTTGTTTTGATGCACGTGTATGCATACATCTACCCAAATAGGAAGTTTTGTGGGTCAAAACGCGGAAAGTTGCTTGGTTAAACTTCTATAAAGAAATAAGGATATTTGTTTACGCGTGAAGAGGATAAATAAAGAGGATGATTGAAGAGAAAGAGAAAGAGAGAGAGAGAGAAGGAGAAAATGCGGTTGTTAGAAAAAAAAATTTAGGTATGAAAAAAAACAAAATTCAACGCATAAGTAAAGGAAAGATAGAAAAAAGAGAGAGATATGGAAAAAGGGTTTCAAAAGAAAGTAAGTTACGCCTCGATCGGAACATGTACTCTGTTTATACAAACACAGACATAAATATTCGCATACATGAATACTGCGTACGGACAAGGGGATAGCAAAGTTGAAGAACGAATGGGATGGAATATAGGAGAAGGGGTATTGCAATTACTATTGGACAAAACCATACCGACTAGCCACCACCGCTCACGTAATCCGAGTCTTTAGCTTATCTTGAGAACAAATTAGCGTTGCGGCTATGAGAGAAAGAGAGAGAGAGAATACTGCGGATGCAACGCAGCGAAGTAAAGCGAAGCTCGTACCGTATGCGATACAGCATTGCGGAACGCGCATCGTATCGTCGGCCCGTCTGACGATATATATTGCTTTCGAGTCGTGCGATGCAGCTGCAGCTGCGGCGAAGGTGCAACCCTTCCCTCCAACCATCCACCTACCCCACTTCCTCTTCCGCCCCTTTAACCCACTCCAACCCCCTTGGTCCTCTTCGTTCTAAACTCTCTTCGCTAACCTTTTACCTCCAACCTGCTTACTTGGCCCAGAACTCCAACCAAGAGAATCGGCCGGTTTCGAACACCAAAGTACATGGCTAACCTTATTCTTCTTTCTTTATTCCCCCTCCCCTTTGTCCTCCTTATCTCTCCCTCTTCTTTATTCCTCTACTATCTTTTTTTTTTCTTCAACGTAAAATAGACGTGACTGCCGAAAAGACGAGGGCTTAGGGATCACCAACTGCAATGCGACTACTATGTCGAATAGGACGGACCGAAACAAATTCAGTGTCCCTGAGCTGCAATATAAAAGATTGTAGGTTGTACCCCATCTCTGGATTATTTGTATTTTCCAGAAAAATCAGAGTTCGAGGTGAGGTGACACTAGATTTAATACTTTTACACGAGTATGGGTATTGCGTTTATGTATGTGTTCTACATACTTGTAAATATGTGTGTTTGTGATTGTAAACTTTACATGTTTATGGGTATACATGCAAATTTTTATGACGTTGATATGAAGGTACACGGTAATAAAAGTAAATGCATTAAATATATATATGATCATTGTAGATTATTTATGTATATGTATATGCACATAGGTGGATGCATCGAAAGGGGAAAGATTTTATATCGAACGCGTGTTTATAGATAAAGCGATTATTTTTTTATTTATTTGTCTTTTTATTTCATTTTTATTTATATTTATATTTATATTTATATTTAATTACAACAACTTCGAAATTAATAGAAATAAAATAATTAACCGTAAATTATCATCACTGAGGTAAATGTTGACACATAATTTTTGAAATGTATTGCACGAGTTAAACAATCACTCTGACATTTATCGTAAATAATTGTTTACAATTAACTTTTTTTCAAATTTCAAACAGATTTGTGTGGTGTGTACTTTCTCTTACATATTTACACGAGTATTTTTTACTTTATATCAGCCCTGATCGCAAAAATCTTTACCCATAGAGAACCCTGAATCAAATTAGTTTTTTCACGAATTTTATTTATTTTTTCTTCTTGTTGTTAAAAGTTGGAACGATTCCTAGGTAAACGTCGACGATACACGCGTGAATAAACTTAGGCTTACTATGCAAATGTGTTCTTCTTGCGCTAGCATACTGGCAATTAAGTCCAAAGTACCGTTTGCATCTTTTATACCCTCTAACCACAGATTCGTGGAATAATCAACGTACGATCACGACATGTGTGCTTTAAAAGCAACCAACTCGACTCTCTATTTCCTATTCCCCCTTACTCTCTCTCTCTCTCTCCACCCTTTTCCCTAGTCCCTCTATCTGTATTCCTTCACCTCTCTACTTTCCATTTTCCATCCCAACAAGAGAAAATGAGAGAATCCGTGCAATTTCTACTTGATACACGTAACATACACAGTTACATATGTATATATATGGTGTTACTGTTTCAGGTGTGGGAGACGATTACCTAACCGTGTCTCTAAGGGACGGTGGTGTCGCCGTTGGGATGACTTTGGCCAAAGGGAGACTCGATCTACATATCAAACCATCCAGAATCAGGTTCGACGACAACCAGTGGCATAAAATTGTCGTTCATAGGAGAGTTCAAGAGGTTAGTTAAATTTTGTATATATTTTGTTCTTATTATTTGTTATTTTTATATTTAATTTGTTTTATACAAAACATGAATATACGTTAATAGGTATGGATGTTTGTATATGTAATAAACGTATGCGTAGCCATGTTAGATACCGGACACGTAATCCGAGTCTTTAGCTTATCTTGAGGATAAATTAACGGACGAAAAACGGAATTTATCGTAACAGGGGAGATTGTAAGTTTTTAGATAGGTTTACCCTTTCGGGGATTCATCTACGTTAAATCATAAAAACTTTTTTAATCACCGGTCATTTTGATCTAACGCTGTAGGAATAGGTATGCAAGAACTGTCAATAGATTTAATATTAAATCGTAAACAAGAGTGTTGAATTCAAAATTAGGACCTTTTATAACAATGTAGAAACTTATAAATTAATTTTTGTTCTGATAAATATTAAATATATACAATGTATGATATTTTACGCTTATGAAACACGTGTATGCATGTGTATAAAGACATAATTTGCATAAAGAGGAAACGGGGAGTTCGATTGATAGAAGGGAAATAGAGATAAATTTTAATGCTGGCATCGTTGTCCTAAACTAAATAGATCGTCGAACGAACGTGACAGTAATATCGTTAGTGCGGTAGGTGTACACTGGTATTCATTGCGTATTACGTGCTATCGGGGTAGGGTAACGTAATTATTTACGCATTGCTATCGCGAGCCTCTAAAGCGAGAGAGCCAGTGTGCCTCATTGATCATCAACCCTCTACCATCCTATCGATTTATTCGCCACTTGCCGAACACTACCCTATGATTTTCATTTTAGTAGAAATAAGAGAAAAGTTGCTAATTATATAACTGGAAAATTCAATAATTTTATTTAGATATTCATTTAATTATTTTCCTCCTAAAAACTCGGTCGGTTTTTTTTTACACTTTAAAACATTGCATTTCACATCATTCCTATTCATGCAGTATTGATATTTCATGTGAGAACTTATAATTCATTTTTCCCTCTATTTCCAATTCGTACAGTTTTTATTATAATTATCTAATTTTCTATTATATTATTATTATCTAATTTTCTAATTGTTAAGACTATAAACTCCCGAATATATCCAAGTAATGATGATCCTTTGTTGCAAATGAGCCATAAAAATACTAAGAGTGTTATTTTCCTATTAAAAAGGGGTAAAGAGATAATCTTTATTTATTTCATTCATAATAACCCCAGAATTTATTTGAGGACAGCAGGTCCTGCGGTAGTGACAGTCCGCTGAATAAAGACCATGGGAGCGAATAAACCATACTGTTTACATCTCTATATCAAAAGAAGTTTATTTTTTAAAATATTTTTGTGGAAGCGTGTTTTCTTAATAATAATGAAAATTTTCTTGCAAGACAAAATATCCCTAGTAGCACAAAATATTGAAAAATATTGAATACACATATATATACTCATGTATTCAATATTATATTTTGTGCTACTAGGGATATTAAGTAATCTAAATAGCATAATAGATCATAGATTAGCACGAGTTATGATAAATATATTATAATAATCAATAACATTATATATAACTAGTTTCTATTTGTTTACTTATCGATCGGTACGCATGGCGAATAATTAGGACTGAAATTCGTTAATTGATTTTCGGTCTGAATGGTATCTTCCTAGCACTTTGGAGACGCTTAAATTTCGTTTATCTACCTAAGTACATAGATAGTAAATGCATACATAGATACATAAGTACATGAATACATGCATATATACATGCCAACGTGCATGCTTCCGTATGTACTTATGTATGTACATACAACGAACCGATTTCGAAGATTATGTCACATCGAGATCAACTCGTTCGACGAGCGTGTGCTTAGGGAAATTATCCGATGCACCGTTGCCTCAAACGCTAACTGGTCTATATGCTAGCATCGACCTAATTCCCCTATAAAATGTATGCCTTCTCATACATTGACGCAAACCCTTAAATCGTCCTTTAGATTATAACGCATACAATATTGGCTAGAAGTTTTGGATCACTTACTATAGTTCTGCCCCAATCGGATATTTATTTATTATTAATAATTGTTCAACGATCTATCGTTGCTATGATATTTTTAGAGATTCCAGTATTCTTTGAATTTATATATAAATTCCAAACTTTTCACTTGTAATGTATTTATTTTGACGCATGTCACTTTTTACAGACACTCATACACACCTACAAGTCTATAATATTCATTATTCTTAGAATTAATTATTATAATAATTGTAGAATCCATACATACACGCACACGCATATGTATTAATATTAATTTATTTAGATGTAATAAAAGTATCGAAGATTGATAGAAAATTTTGTATTCTTTCTTGTAAAATAATCCACTTCTTACCTCGACTCTCTCAAAAATATCTTACAAGAGCTTAAGAAATTCGTTCTTTTTCTATTGTCTGGTAGCTCAACGAATTATTGACGCGACCTCTCCGTGTCTTCATTCTTCTTCTTTCTCGAGTGTATCACCAGAAAGAATATATCGAAAGTTAACGGAAGAGATATTATAGAAAAAGAACTTCAAGATTCTTTCTTACCACGACTACTACTTTTATTACTTTTTCCCCTATTTTTGTCCTACTTCCTTTTACGTGACTCGCCAGACAATATCTAAAAGGAAAGACACAGTACTGTACTATCAAGGGTTAATTTCATCATTATACCTAATACCCTTAAATGAAAATTATTTCTATTTTCGTGTGTGATTTTTCGTACAGGAAATATCGATCTCTTTTTATTTTATTTTTATAGTGTTTCATTTTTTTTTTTTTTCAAATCACTTCCATTCTAAAAAAGTTTTCACTCCAAACATTTAATTTAATCGATAATAAATATGTTAATAAATAAGGTTTATTAAAATTTATATATGTCTATAATACTTTTTGTAATATTCTTTTCTACATAGAAATAAATAAAAGAGCATACAGTTGGAAAATAAAAATTTATCGAACCTCAGATTCGTACGTTATCAATAAAGTATGGCCTGCATTTTCGTGCACTTTAGAGTTTCTACTTCGTCTATTAAATTTTTTATTTGCATGACGTACGGTTTCAAGAGGGAATCGCTAAATTTGAAAAAAGTTTTTTTCGCCTAGATAAAAATATAAGAATATATACATGGATGAATTCAACCACATGTGTATTCATCAATAAAATTCATTAAATATATCTACAAATAATATTTTGTTTACAATAATTTGTTGAAAATATAACGTTACGATATTCTAATATTTAAACTTAAGCAATAATGTGCAAAACTTTCGTGTATACAAATACAACAATTGATAGGAAATTTGGCGAAGAGAAACAAAATGATATAAAAGAGAAGAAAATACTTTCATTATACCGCTAACAGTGTTTCGGACAGAACAGTATGGCCGGAAGGTATGGTGTAGCAAAGTTTGAGCCCTCTGTCGAAAGTTTGATAGTTTCAATCTGTTTGATCGGTTCGTACGTAGACGTGGGCGTAGACAAGTTCACTTCTTCCTTCCTCATGGTAACTAGTTTACAACCATCTCGTATGCGTCTTCGATCTCTCCTATTTTACTATGCTTTTCGTTATAGTTAACTTACTTTTCTTACGTTAGGTAGCGTAGCATACAATTCATTGTTGTCAAAAATTAGAATTAATAATAGAATATTTGAAATTTACAAATCGTATTATAAATGCATAATTAATAAATAGCATAATTATTTGCATAATTAATTAATCATATGTTAACAAAAATATATTATAAAAAAAAATAATTCCTACTTTACAATCCATACTTTTATTATAAATATAGATTTATAATAAAAAAGATTGTATAATAAATTTTGAGGATTATAATAAAATCGATCGGTCAATATTTGATCAAAGTTGCGACATTTTGACAAGCGATTATAATCCTGATATCAAAAAATATCCTTTAATAATAAATATTGTATATCTATCTATATATATATATATATTTATGTACACATATTTTTGTATACATATGTGTACATATTGATTAAAAAGTTTTATTCGTTGTAGAAAAAGGGTTGCCTGTCTCACGCGATAATCTCGTCTTATTTTTATGACAACAGTAATGATTAGAAATAAGCGTATATATCGTGCAAAAAATGGTGGAAATAATCAACTTTCTGTTAATTATCGATTCGTCTTTGGAAATTCAGTATTAAATATCTCAAATCCGATAAGTTACATTTCAATGTGATATTTATGCCAGGAAATTTGATTTTTTTTTATTCGATTACCTTGCAAGAATTTTCGAGAATTTGATCTCTCGAAACTTCCCTTTTCGAGTTTCCTTTTTCAACGGTGAACACTTTCCTCGAAAGAGGATTTTCGGCTTTAAACGTGGTCCTCCATTGCAGGACGATATTCGAAAGGAGTGTAACCACGAGGTACTCGAAAACACGATTGAGGTTGAGGAGAGAAATCTAACTCGAGTTTAGGTAGCAGCTAAGTTATTTCCTCGTCAAGCTTTCGACCAGTCGAATCTTGGAGATCTTAAGGAAAGGTAATGGCCCTAACTGAACTCGAGTATGTGGTCTCGATTCATTCTATTCTAAATCAACTTGTATCTTTGATCCAAGTATTTCACCTTCTCTCGTTTGATCCACTTTGACATTTTAGCGGATAGGTATTACGAGTTTACTTGGAACTTTAAACGTCAATGACGATCTTTCGATATTTCGTCCCTAGGGTATTGCAAGAGAGGAATGGATGATCGTTGTTCTACTTTCGAGACGTGTTTTATGATTGATGACTGAATGTGACAGGACTATGAGATCAGATCAGATTGGAGCGGAATAATATCGCGAATGCGAACGATTATTACAAATAATGTTGGAAAATAAAAGAGAGATATGCCATCAGTTTCAAGAAAAATATCTTTTGTCAATATAATCTATCTTTTTCATTTTTTTTTTTTTTTTTTTTACAGATGTTTAAATATATCAAA